AGAAAATCTAAATAAATGGAATGATGTTCTATGTCATGGATTACAACACTTAATATTAAGACGGAAATACTATCAAAATTCTAATTGTCTCCTTCATACCTTAAAATCATATGTAATTGATCCTAAAATTCATATGTAATTATAAGGAATCCAGAAAAGTCCAAAAAAAAACTTGAAAAAAAACCCCAAAGTTGGAAGACTTAAAATTCTTAATTTCAAAATTTACTACAAAGCTATAGTGATCAAAAGAGTGTGGTACTGATATGAGGATAGACAACATATAGATCAATGAAACAGGACTGAGAGTCCATAAACAAAACCAAACATCCATAGGCAATAGATTTTCAACACAGTTACTGAATGGGGGAAAGAAAAGTCTTTTTAATAAATGGTGCTGGAATGGGGTGCCTGGGTGGATCAGCTGGTTGAGCATCTGACTTGGGCTTAGGTCGTGATCTCAGTGTCCTGGGAGCAACCCCTGCATCAGGCTCCTTGCTCATCAGGGAGTCTGCTTCTCCCTCTGCTCCTTCCCAACTCCCATGCCCTGCTTGTGCATGGGCTCTCTCTCTCTCTCAAATAAATAAATAAAATCTTTGGAAAAATAAATTAATGGTGTTGAGATAACTGGATAGCCCTGTAAAAGAATGAAATTCAGTCTCTGCATTATACCATATACAAAAATTAACTCAATATGGACCAAAACCTAAATGTAAGAGTTAATACTAGAGAACTCTTTAGAGAAAACATAGGGGATTTTTTCATGACCGGGGATTTGGCGATGTATTCTTAGATCTAAAACCAAAATCATGATCAACAAAAGAAAAAAAATGGACTTCATCAAAGTTAAAAAACTTTTGTCCATCAAAGAATGTTGCTGAGAAAGTAAAAAGACAATGCACAGAATGGAGTAAGAGGGTATAGGAGGGACTGCTTAATGGCTTCTGGGTTTCTCTTTGAGGTGAAGAAAATATTCTGAACACATAGTTGTGATGGTGGCATAACACTGTAAATGCATTGGAAGCTACTGAATTGTACCCTTTAAAATGGTTAAAATGGTGATTTTCTTTTAAAGTTCAATAGTTTTGGTTTTTTCAAAACAGTTGAGAATTCAACTAAAGAAGTGTGTATATTAAAAAATGCACCTCATGGAAAATTGTGATCTTGTTTTCTCTTGTTATTTTTCTTGACCCCAATAACCTGAAATTAGCCTAACAAAGTTTCTTAATAAAAGGTTAACTTCTGACCTACATTTAAAAAGCCATAATATATACATACATATATTCACATATAATTAAAATAAAATATCTGTTTCTTTGAAATGAGGTATGTTTTTAGATGAAAATAACTGGCCTTGGGGTGCCTGGGTAGCTCAGTTGGTGAAGCCACCGCCTTCGGCTCCAGTCATGATCCCAGAGTCCCAGGACTGAGTCCTGCATCAAGGTCCCAGCTCCACGGGAAGTCTGCTTCTCCTTCTGACCTTCTCCCCCCTCATGCTCTCTCTCACTCTCTCTCTCAAATGGATAAATAAAATCTTTAAGAAAAAAAGATGACTGGCCTTCTTTATTAAATACTAGTATTGGTCCCAAATGGGATTTAAAAAGTAATATCCCATCAAACTGCTTTGTATAATATAATTTCAGGATTTGAAAAATTGTAGGTAATGTATCAAGTTTAAAGATTAACAAATATATCTTGAAATCTGGAACTGTGACACCTCCAGCTTTATTTTTCTTTCTCAAGATTCCTTCCACTATTCAGGGTCTTTAGTGGTTCCATACAAATTTCAGTTTTATTTGCTCTAGTTTTGTGGAAAATGTTGTTGGTATTTTGATAGGGATTGCATTGGATCTTTAGATTGCTTTAGGTAATATGGACATTTTAATAGCATCAATTCTTCCAATCCATGAGAATGAAATACCTTTCCAATTGTTTGCATCACCTTCAGCTTCTTTCATAAGTGTTTTATTAGTTTTCAGAGTACAGGTCTTACCTCCTTGCTTAAGTTTACTCCTAGGTATTTTATTCTTTTTGGTGCAAGTGTAAATAGTGTTCTTTTTTTTTAATTTCTCTTTTTGCTACTTCATTATTAGTGTATAGAAATGCAACTGATTTCTGGGTATTAATTTTGTATCCTACAACTTTAGGGAATTCATTTATTCTAGTAGTTTTTTTGTTAGAGTTTTGAGGATTTTCTATGTTCACGTCATTTGCAAATAGTGATAGTTTAACCTCTTTTAACTTCAACCAATATGGATGCCTCTGTTTTTCATGCCTGATCACTGTGGCTAGGACTTCTAATACCACGTTCAATAAAAGTGGCAAGAGTTGAAGAGATACAGGCTTCCAGTTATGGAATGAAAAGTCACAGGAATAAAAGGCACAGCATAGGGAATACAGTCAATAATGCTGTAATAGCAATGTATGGTGACAGATGGTAGCTACACCAGTGGTGAGTATGGCAGTATATATAGACTTGTCAAATCACTATGTTGTACACCTGAAACTAATGTAACATCGTGTGTCAGCTATACTCAAATTCTAAATAATTGACAAATATCAATAAAACGCAATTGCTTTTCCAAAAAAAAAAAAAAAAAAAAAAAAAAACCCCAAAAACCCAAACGCTTAAGTTCTCCAAATGTTTAAGTTCTTTAAAATGCAAGAAAGGAAATAATGTCTGGGGGCATGTGGGTGGAGCAGAGCAGTCAGGTAAGCGTCCGACTCTGGGTTTCAGCTCAGGTCATGATCTCAGGGTCGTAAGATCGAGCCCTGCGCTGGGCTCCAAACTCAGGGTGCAGTCTGCTTAACACTCTCTCCCTCTTCCTCCACCCCTCCCCACCACACTCTCTCCCTTGCTCTCTCTAAAATAAATAAATAAATCATTAAAAAGAAAAAAAGAAATAACGTCTTCGCGAAAACAATTTCTTTTTATTAGATCATTGTGTCACAAGTTAATATTAAAATTTAATTCAGCAGGTAGAGTCAACTTTATTCTAGAATAACTACTGCAAACCTTGAAAACACATGTGCTTAAGATACATAGATAGCTATACTATTTGGTTATGTGCAATAAACCGGACTGAAGAGTCTGAATGTAACCACAACCATTTTTACCATGAAAGAGTCTAGATCCTCTTTTGTACTACACCCAGTTTCTCCAAATTGGCGAAATGCCTCTGGACAGTCCGAGTTGGCCAGAAAAACACCTGCATGAGGACCAGTGGGCAGCACCTCCCTGAGAGCTCAGAGTAACTCTCTGGGCCATTTCATAGCACCCATTCATTCTCACCCAAACTTCATAGAAAAGAGAATTAGCCCAATAATCAATTTAGCCTTTCCTAAATTTTCACTTCAAGATTGAGAAGTAACTGATAATTCTGAAACCACTATAAAAATAGAAATTTCCAGAAACATTAATCAAAATAATTAACTACTAAATTTGAAGGGGAAAAAAGCCATCAAGCAAAAGTAAATCTACAGTGGCTCTTGGCCAATTCTAAAGACATCTTTCTTTCCGTATGACACAAAAATTGAAAGATAAACTGCAACTGAAGAACTGTATGATTATAATTGTCCTATTGCAGTCAGTCTTGATTATATTTAAAATACACATTTTGCCATTCTCATAATGAAAGGATAAGGCAGGGGAGCCTGGGTGGCTCAGTGGGTTTTAAAGCCTCTGCCTTCAGCTCAGGTCATGATCCCAGGGTCGAGTCCCGCATCGGGTTCTCTGCTTGGTGGGGAGCCTGCTTCCCCACCCCCACACCTGCCTCTCTGCCTACTTGTGATCTCTGTCTGTCAAATAAATAAATAAAATCTTTCAAAAAAAAAAAAAGGAAAAGAAAGGATAAGGCACAACATCTGTATTTCACACTGATGATGGTTTTTCTCTGATGTCAAAGTCCTTTCTTCAAGGTAGCTGCCACCCAAGATTTTTTTTCCCCTGTAGCTGGGAATATGAACAAACAATTGGATTTCAAGGCAACATTAACTGTATATAAAGATATGCCATATACACAACATAACTGATTTCTCCTATCAAAGGTCTCACTCACCAAGTACAAAAAAAAATGTAACCAAAGATATCTCTTTTCCTACAAATCAAATTTCAGGTTTCTAGCATATATGGATTTGATGTGACCATGGTTTGTTTTTTGGGTATTTTTAAGTGATTTACAAAGCTATATTCTATAATAAATTTGATTATTATAAATACGGTTTATTATAAATCATTATAGATATGGTTATTATAAATCATTATAAATATGGTTCATTCATGAATTCCATACATCTTAAAAGCGCTAGGTAATTATATTTCCAACAAATTGTCTATTAGACAATAATAGACACACATAAATTATATTTCTCTACTTTTAAATAATGAACGTATCTTTGAATTTAGAATGCTAAAAAAATACACAGTCAGTTAATACATTAAGTTTTTAGTAAGATGACATCCTTAAATGCTACTCATCACTACAAATTAAATGTTAATTTATCATTGAGAAGTAATCAAACTTGAAAATAATAGAGTATTACTAAATATATTCTTATAAGAAGGTAAATTACAGCTTGAAAAGTACTGCCAGATACAATATATTCTGGCTCCTTTATATATACATATATAGGACAGTAGGTTTGAGAGTGGTAAGAGGTTAGACAGTGTGGTCAAACATTTTATCATTATGAGACAAGTAAGAATCATAATGACCTCTGGTTCAGTCAGCAAAGACCACAAATAACTCAAGTGCAATTATACCAGTTGGGAGAAACCACTATTTTTCTAGTTTTATCAAGTACATAAAGTGAATTCTGAAGAAAGTTTTACAGTTAAGCACCGAATAACATAAACTTTCAGTCATTTGGGAGGATCTTTCTGTTACTTTAATTTTAAAGAAAGTTACAAAATGGATTAAAGTATCTTGAGGTTAATAAAATTAATGTTTAGGAAAACAGCATCCTAACAGAAGTTGAATGATGTTGAAGGAAAAGTATAGTACCTTATGAAGCATATTTTCTATTGTTCTCATATGATTAGCAACACATTCTTTGTCTCTAGAAAAAAAATTAAAATTAGGTATTAGTAAAACCCAAGCCTTACAACCAATGTTACACATTTTAGTATAAGTAGTTATTACTGAAAAATAAGGTTTGGTTATTATTGTACTCCTTCAAAAAATGCAAAACCTAACCACATTTTCTGGTATAATTCTGCATTTAACTTTTATCTTTAGTTACATTGTCTGCCATAAATTAGAGGAATAAAAATCTTATGGATCTCTTCAAAGTTTAGAAAAAAAGACTGAAAAAATAAGTAACAGAAATTTTAAAAAGAGTGAAAAAGAAAAAGAAGCTATGATTACATTGTTGGGTTAAAATGTACTAGAAAGGCTGAACTTTCATTCTTTTGTTTTTCTTTTGTTTCTAATGAAAGAGATTTTTAAAATCATAGAGGTGGAGATATATTTTGAATGGCCATACTATGCCAAATAATATTTTCCTTTCTACATAGGCTCTTTGTGTTATAATTACACAAAAACCCTCTATGACCTTGACTAGAAGCAAAGTAACTAGTTTCTTCTATCAGCCTTGCAGATTGAATTTGACTTTAATAAAGATATAAAAAGTTTGGATGTACAGCAAAGGGAAAATAGTTAACACCAGAACAAGTTTGTATGGTGACATTTGGTAGCTAGATTCATCGTGGTGATCACTTCTTAATGTATACAGACGTTGAATCACTACATTATATATGTGAAGCTAATAGAATACTGTATGCCAACTACACTTCAATAAAAGTAAAGCTAAATTAAAAGTTTGGATGAAAATACTGAAGACAAAAATTTAATAGTAAATTAGAAATTGAAAACTGTAAATAATGTATTAGTTCTCCAAATTTCAAATTAATTTTCTTTCGTGTTATAAGAACATGTGCCCATGGTCACTAGATGTGACAGATTCCTGAATTAGCAGCAATGTTTTGGAGACAGAATATTAATCTGGAGACTTTGTAATCTTGTTCCCATTCATCTAAGAATTTTAAGAGCTGCAAGATGCACTAGAAATAACCTGGGCTAAGCTTTCCACTTGCCATAAGGAGAAAGACTGAACAATGGCAACACAAAGCTGATTGAGTCAAATTCCTATTTTTTAAAAATTGACAATCACAAAACCTAATAACCTAATATGGTGGTGCAACATTACAGAGTTTCACAATTTTCCAGAAAACGACTAACCTGACAATATTTTGGCCTTGTGTAAACTCATTTTTTCATTAGTATGAGCAATTTCCCAAGCCCAATGGCAAAGTTGTGGATATCGTAGATGGCAGATCCCCTGTTCTATAATTTTGTTTACAGACTACACTGCCTCAAAAAAAATTTTAAGTGATATATATATATATAAATATATACATATATTTATATTTGCAATTGTAGGAACTCAGAATTCCAAATTCAGAAAACACGGAGTTTATTAAAATTAGATGTTTCCTTAATCCATAAATAGATTTTCTTTAAGCCATGCTATTGTACAAAGGACTGTCTTAAAGTATTCCATGAAATGTGATGTGAGGAACAAATAAAAATACCCAAGAGAGAACTGTTCAATTTGAACTTCACAGTGTATGTCAACTTGATTACCTGGTAAAAGGAAAAACACTCTCATCACATTTGCATAGCTGCCCACTCTGAAAACTGTATATTTTTTCTATTGAACGTGTTAGAACATACGGCTATAAAATTAAATGAATTTTCCATGATCAATATGTTTTTATTGCACTTAAAAAGATGTTATGATACACATGTTGCTTATATCCTAGCATTTTTTATGGAAATATTACTTGCAATATTAGTATACCATACGCAGAGCAAATCTGTGGGGCCGTGGGGCAGAAGGGAATGAGGAGTATGTAACAGAAGGAACGATGAAAAACTTTTCAGTAATGAGTATTCCATTTCCTATTAATGAAATCACGCGTCTCCAACGTGTAACACTACAACAGAGCCCAAAACACACAATGCGCGGCAATCGAGAAACTTAATACTTTTCCGAGATTTCTCAATAAAATATACATTGAGCATGTTGAGTTAAGAGTTTTCTTTTTTGAGGATCTATCAGAGAATTTCAAAGAGAGACAGCTGTACTTTTGTTTTCTAACACTGTATTATCCAGGGCTAAAACCCGGAGCATGAAAGTGAGAATTGATCTTTTGTCTGTTTTAAGTGATCTCCCCAAGGTCCGAGTGCTCACTTGGCTGCCATGCGGAGGGCGCTCTCCGCATCGCGGATGCTCTCCTCCAACCGACGCTTGTCCTGCTCCAGCTGGGTGAGATGTCTATTGAGCTGACGCAGAGATTGATCTTTTCTTCTCAGCTCCATCTTTGCCTCGGAGAGACTCTGCAAGCAGACAGAAAACAGAGTTGCTTGTCAGCCCTGATAATTAACTTCAATTTATGCCATAGGCTATTAAACAAAGAAGGATACAGACTGACTGAGAAGCAGACTTGGGTCATTACACATCAGGGTTTAACAAATTTTCTGCAAAAATTTCACGCACTTACTAATTAGAAATGATAGTTCTGATAAGATTTTGAAAAAATGTTTAGCTACAAAATACAAGTCTGCTTTATTTTTTTAAGTACTGGAAAGCACATACATTTTATTCTTACACCCAAAAAATCTGACTATAAAAACCTCAAGTTCCCTTTTCTTTAATGAGGAAGAAGTAAAGATTTTCAGGGGAGAAAGCACATGAAATTTAGAGGCTATTCAAAACAAAAACTGGCCTGTGGACAAAATGTGTATGTGAGTGAGGGGGAGGTGGATAAGGACACCAAGAGAATGGGGAACCCAAACTGGAAAGTACCACTACTTTATTCATAAAGAGATCCAAAACAGGTCACTGTAGACATCTCAGTGAACTAACTGGACTCCACAGTAAAACTCACTTACTTGCCATTAAATAACTCCATGTCGAAGGTAGCAACACAAATGTGATTAACACCTTTCATCTAACAAAGTTACAAATAATATTTGCATTCAGAATTATTTATGTTCCATAAATACTTTTCTATTCCCAGAAGTAGAAAATCTGTTGGTTGATATTTTGCTATTTGCTTTAATCTGAAATATTCCCTTAGCACAAAAATTTCAAGATGTGAGTCCACAACTCTGGTTTGGAACTTTCAGGCTAAAGGTCTTAAATCAGACCTCACAATTTAAAGAAGTATTTTCTAGACTTCATGTAAAATAACATAGGGATCACAGGATCCCTTGGGACTAAAAATTTGCTCATTCTTTTTCTTAGGAAATTTCTAGAATATGAGCTTATCAACTTTTCAACTACATTTGTTATACAGTGAGCTAAACAATTGGTTACACAAGCATAACATCTTCTGCTTCCTTCGCAGAGTTTAGCCACACATTAATGTCCACTGCCTTGCTTCAAATATCCAGTTAAGAATAACCAAATGCTATAATTTTCATGTTCAAAATTCTTCTACAGTATTTTCTTAATGCATTCACAATAGGTAGAACAGAAAACTCAAGCAGCCTTCGTGAAGCTAAAACAGTTAACTCACTCTAAATGCTAGCACACTGAAAGCAACCAAGTCAAACCAGGTATTTTAAAATGTTAAAAGTTTTTAAATTCATGATTTCACTTTTCAAACAGTCAAGCTACTTCCAGACAAATATAAGTTTAAAAAATTTAAAATAAGCAAACTGTGATTACTTATAAGATATATTCTACTATAATCTTCAATGTTCACAGATCATCAAGAACATCCCACTATAGAAGCATCACTGATTCAAACCAACTTTTAAAAAGACAACAGGGGCCCCTGGGTGGCTCAGTGGATTAAGCCTCTGCCTTCAGCTCAGGTAGTCGTCTCAGGGTCCTGGGATCAAGCCCCACATTGGGCTCTCTGCTCAGCAAGGAGCCTGCTTCCCCGTCTCTCTGCCTGCCTCTCTGCCCACTTGTGATTTCTCTCTCTGTCAAATAAATGAATAAAATCTTTTTTTTAAAAAAGACAGCAAAGAATAGATTGTTAAAGGCCATGCTAAACCTAGGTATTTTGTGCCAGTGTTAAGATATTTAAAGGCATTGAAGAATCATGAGATTTCCCGATTTAAAAAAGTAAAATCCGTTCGAGTCCTTTTCAAGCTGGTATTTCTGACATCTTTCAGTTGATTTTTAAAAAATGCTATTTTTCAGATAGAAAGCTAAAACTAATGATCCACTACCATGAGTTATGCATAAAGATCGAATTCTTTTTTCCAACAGAAATAACAGATTTATGCCAATCCATTCCAATTCTCTTGCCCAGTAACTCTCATGACTCGTGGTGGACATTTGTGAGGGCTACTCGGGGTGCTGCCTCTAGCCTTGTCCTTCTAAACTGATGCTCAATGGTCCTCTCTGAAAGAAACCCATGATCCTGGCATCATCACAAATCACAGTCACCTGACTTTTCAGCAATCTTGTGCCACCCTTCCAAAGACCATATAGCTCTCAGAATCCGAATCTCTGCTCTATATCCAAATCTTCTTTTTTTCCCCCGGCTTTCATACTCGTCTCTTGGGGGCAATGAGTGGGCAGGGAGTCACCAAAGTCTCCTCAAGCTTGTTTGCCCTATTTTGGAAGAGCTGAATGTAGCCCATGCCAAGACTGAAACTTCAGAAAATGAACAAGAAGTGGTGTCAACCAGGTGGTGTAGGTCACACTTCCTGTGAAAATGAAGACATAGCAATCATGGTTACATAACTTAGAGACACAAAATTCCCTTGTAAAGAGTTGAGGGACATGACAACGGAATCCACATCAGTGGGTCCTAAGGTCCATAATAAAGATGTGCGCAGAGCGCCAAGACAGAAAAAGTGGTTCAATATTATGTCCTTTCCCTAATATTCACCTTTTTTGTTTTTGATGACAAAAGTAGAAATCTTTGGAAATCTCAACACTGAGCTTTGAAGAAAGACAGACATATTTATATGTGTGTGTATAATGTATACACACAGGTACTCTTACCATATATAAAATATAGCATATGTTAAATGTTTATATAAAACTTGAAGTTCAGCTTTTCTTTGCTCCTGTCCAGGTTTATCTAATTAAAACCCATGATAAACTTTATGGACTCCAATATTTCCAACTGAATGACTGAAACCAAGAGGGTGTGCCTCTAGGCAGCAAGGCAACAATGATAAGCAGCGGGTTAGCCACTAATTTCTCAAGCAGGGTAGATTGTGAAAGTGTGATGTTCTGATATCCAAGAAACTGTTCAGGAGAGAATAGGATAAATCAAGTTTAATAACTCTGCTCCTAATTGTTCCCCCAATGCTCAACTCTAATTACTTGGAGAACTCTCCTGACTGTCACCTGATATTAAGTTGTTGGAGGCTGAGCCTGGAACAGCGAGATAATCAATAAACATTTAGTGGGGAGAAGAATGAAGATCCTGTTAAGCAGTGGGAACCTGCAGCACCCAAAGCCCTCCTGCTCATGAGAAAACCTATGGGACAGCCATAGTGATTGCAAAGCAATAATCCAAAGCACTGTTTTTAGGCCTTGAGGCCTTTAGGCAACAGTACGTTTGAGGAAAAAAGGTTAACACGGTCACCCTAATTACAGCCCACTTTCACATACTTCATATATAAGCGAAGACAAGCCAATTAGGTAGAAAGGAAGATAAGGGAAGTTTTATTTGTATACTAATTAAACCCCTGATGAAATTAAAGGAAAAACATACAGCTCTGTAATTGTGTCTGAGAAAGGTCACTTCAGGTTCAGTTATCAGAACAGCACAGCCTTGAGATATTTCACTTAATCCACAGTACAGCCCTCATTTTGTACTCAGGTCTTAATATTTACCAAAAAAAAAAAAAAAATTCAAAGCCTGATACTGCATTTATCTTTAAACTGTGTTGTGAACAATTTTAGCGGTTACAAAGCGAATGCTAAATATGATAACAAGGGTTTTTAAAAAGACAGAATAATATTCTGCCTAGGTGAGAATCGATGCCACCATTCTGCCCAAGATTTGGAGTTTTTGCCTTCAAACCAAAATGTCTTAAAGCAAATTTTTACCAAAAAATCCCAAATTGACTGTATATCCAAAGCTACTCTGCAACATACACATTGTATTTCTTTGGATAACAGTGTTGCTGCTCACCTGCATTTACACCTCTCGCAGTCCAGGGGGCTGGAGGGTTGGGGGGGGCAAGGCTTTCACTAAACCACTTATAAGAGGATATTTTTACATCCAGTTGTTTTCCTAAGGTGGTCACGTAAAGCTATTTATTGCTAATGAAAGCTGGCAAGAAAAGTGTGGATACCAAGGAAGTAGTTAAATATAGGGAAGGCTTAGAATATATGGTAGATGTGAATATTAAAAGACCCACACGTTTTCCAAAATGTCTTTTTTCTTATTTGCAGTTTCTGAAGTTCCCATAACAGACGTGCGTTACTGTTCAATAAGAACACTAATTCTATTAGTTTGCACCTATGGAAATATTTTGTGCAGTGGGATTTTTTTAACAACTGCTTTATGGAGCTAGAACTCACCTACCCCATATTCACCTTTTTGAAGTGTACACTTCAGTGAGTTTTAGTATATTCACAGAATTGTGCAACCATCACCAGTAGGGGTCTGTTTTGGGGAGGAGAAGTTTTTTAAAAAACAACAACAACAAAAAAAAAACCTGTCAAAACAACATGGCCACCTAAATATGGCATCTTCCGTTTCAGCAAACTCGAATTCTAAACTACACATGATATACAAAGTTTATCATTTTGTCCAGTAATCATTTCAAAAATGTAAAATTTGTAACACGATTTCTCTGAATCAAAATATTTGATTCATAAATGTGGTCTAGCACAAAAGCTAGTTTTCTGAGAGAATGTGCACAACTCTCCAATTAATATTTCTGGATGTTAAGGGGATCATCCCACAGGTTCTTTCTCATAAGGGTAGAGTATAGCAGGGCTTTACACCATTAGGGCCAGTGAGGAAGACCGAGCCCCAGGAGACACTGCTTCTATAGATTTTCTTTTGTCTAATGGGAAATATCTATGGATCCACATTCCTACAGACTAAAAGCTAATGGCTTATTCAATTTGGTATAAAAGTTAGTCATACAAAATGAAAGGCAAGACAACACCACCAGTGTTCTAAAGAACGAAGCTACATTTCCTAGGTCAGGGGTAAAAAACATCTCTGACATATTTTTTTAAACTTTATCCTGTCTGTCATTTTTTAATAAACATTCCTAGGTTGTGGTAAATTGGGAACAACATCTCAGGGCACTAACACTAAGGCTGGAAAGGAAACGGCACTGTCTTCAGCCCTACTCTCATAATGGGACAACTAGAAAAGTATATAAATCAAGAACTGAGT